GCTAGATTTTAACAGGGAGGTGGGTAACTTTCTTACCTGATTTAGAGTTTTTTCTTTTTTCTTCTAGGATCCCTTATTATTTCTTTTGGATCCCACTCATTGGCAAGTGTTTCCTGGTCAAGTGTGCTTGTATTTTTTCAATTCTGCACTAGCAACCTGTATATCAGTTCGTGGTTTCAACAGGCTTTGTTGAGATGAGGTGTTCCATAAGACCATTTGGATGTAATTCTGGATGGTAGTATTATTTCACAAATCCAACGGACTACTAATCATGGACTATCATGAGTAAAACCAAAGAAGATTGGTTTGCTTTTAAAATTTAGGGAACGTGGTTCACCTGTTGCACTGTCTCTGGAGGCCTGTTCCTTGAGGCTCCCCACTGCGCACATGCCCCCCCCCCCCAATTCTACTAGTGGAGCTAGAGAGTGGGGTATAAAAGACAAAAGACTGGAGCAAGCGAACACAATGTTTAGATGGTAAAGAACATCAGAAGATGGAGATTGAGAAATAGCTATAAGTGTCAGCAGAGGTAAGTATATTTGGAAATACATTTTCAGATTAGGAAAATGATAACTTTCACCAATGTTTCTAGCACACGAGTTTAAACATAAAACAAATACTTTTGTTAAAAGAGGTGATAAAGGCGATCCTCATAGAGACACCTTTATTCTGTTTATATGTTTAATCTTCTAGATTAAAATAATTATTAGTTACACACAACCTTATTAGATTTATAATATCATATACTTCTGAATGTGAAAAATATTAACTAGGGAGCTATCTATTTTCAAAACAACGTAATGCTTCATCTTCTGGTATATTCGTGTTACTACATGAAAAGAAACTAGTTTTTAATCTTATTTACAAACTTAGATGAATAATTAAACATATATCATGTGAATTTGTTAAAAACACACGTTATTCGACAATGAACTTAGCTAAATATGTAGACAACCCTCTCTTATTAACAATTGGGCAGAACAGTATTCCATTTATATGAACCTTTGGGAGGGCATGAAAATGAGATAAACTGAGACAGTATAAGTTCACTTTGTTCATTAGATGTTAAAGTACTACAGGTTTTAACAACTGTTCTTACTTTATTCTGTATGACGTTCCTTGGGCTTTTCTTTATATGAACCATCATTTAAAAGATTTTTGATATTATTGTTGTAATTATTCTTATCTAATATAACAATCTGTTCTCATTTATCTGCTTTCGAAATTACAGTGGTTTTATTATTTTTAACCTCATAAAGTTGGTTAGCCTCATAATTATACAAATTACTTTGTTTTACCAGTATCAGAAATTAGTCTTAGAAACTGCTTTTTAAACAGAATTCTTTACAATATTATCATCTCATCAGTGTTAAGTTGTTTCAAACTAATTTAAAGTGAAACAATTAAATTTTCTTTCATTGGTATCCTGTTACCTCCAGAGAAATTCAAACCCAAGTTAAGAATTTTAATTTGTTCTGTTGTAATATTTTCCTTAAATAGGTTTACTATTTTCAGGCTATACAGCAATCTAATATACTTTTTGTTTAATATGGCATTAGTAATTTGTGAATTATTTTTAGAATGTTTATTCAGTTTCTTTTTCAAATTATTTTTACATTTCAACCTAACCTTTTCCACCAACTAGATGCTTCCCTACCAAAGTCTGTATATTTCTAGCTAATTTTAAATGTAAACAGTATAGCTTTGCTTTAGTTTTTGCAGTTTCACTCTTATCTTTAATAACACTCTTAAAACTTTTAAACTGAGTTTTTGATAATACATTTTACTCTATTATTTGTTAACTTGCATTTCACTTTTATACTATTTGGTATAACATAGTTTTTAGATTCCAATAAAAACAAAAATGTAGTTTGTTAAGTTATCTTCTGTGTAAACTTCTTAGTTTGTTGGAAATCAGTCCTCTTCTTTCCCATATTCCATGCAGTTTTTGGTGATTGATTCTGTCTTCCAAATTTTAGTTGTAGTAAAGCACGGTTCCCCAAACAGGAACTATGTGAACTTGATTGACCAAGTCTTCTCATACAACTCAACGTCATGACAATGTTCTGGATATTAAGTACAATTTGTCATGATTTTTATTGAAACTGTGTACAAGTGCTGTCAGTCTAATGTTTGAGATGCGTTAAACTAAAGTATTAGTAAATAAATCTTAATGTAAATTGTTGAATGTTTCAGGAATTTATGCTGGTACCCTTTGATTTTTTCTTATTTACATTAACCCTTTCTATATGGGTCACAGGTGACATGTCATCTCGTTTGTTGACTCTTATTCAAAATTTTATTGAACTACTATTTCATGAATTTATGTCAAAAAGTCTGGTATCAAACTGTAGATTATAATTCAAATTTTAGAACTGTGTTACTCAATTTGTTAATTTAAAAGTAAATATTAAAAAATACAGAAACATTGATTTATATGTGTCACGTGGTATGTTGAATGCAGCACTGGTTCAAATTAGATGTTTGTGAAGTCAAATTACTAAGTCTATAGTTTCATACAAATTAGAAACTCAAATTACAGACATTGACAAGCTAGAATACAAAATTAGAAGTTCTTATCTTTTCTATTTACTAAGATATAGCTCACGTAATAAATCAAACATAGTGGCACCCTGCTCACCTCCTTTGATTTTTAGAAACACTCTCTTATAAACACTTACTTCTATATATGACATGAATAACCAATCAGAAGCTCAGAATGACCTCTAGTGGTTTTCTAAGCCTTTCTAACATACCAAGCATCATTTCTTTCTTTTAAATCAAGATTTCAATGAGGTAGGTTGTGTCTTTAGTCTGCTCATAATTTCATATTTTATTTAGAGTAAAATACATCTTAGTTACTAAGCTTGATAAATTATAGTTGAATTATATGGTATTTATGTAGTAATTTATGATTTTTTAGTTATTCAAATGTGTGTGTGTATATATATATATATATATATATATATAT